ATATTGTACTTATCCCCAAAATTTACTATTGTCCCAATATAGTAATTATGCCGATCTTATCCGGATCATCAATTAAATGTCTTAATTTGATTGCAATAATGTTTGAATTTGATCGCCTAGATGTTCGAATTTGATCGCTAATTTGATCACTAAGATGTCCAAATTTGATCGCTTAGATGTCTGAATTTGATTGCTATAATATCCAAATTTGATCACTATAGTGTTCGAATTTGATTGCTAAGATATCCTAATTTGATTGCTAATTTGTCCAAATTTGATTGCCTAGGTGTCCAAAATTAGTATACAAAACCTGTAGTTCAATACAATTCGTGTCATAATGTGTCTTTTAATTTGCAGTACTTATATATACTATAATTATACAAATTATAGCCAAACTAGCTACAGTATACAGTATATATAAAGAGTTTGGAAGTGTTGTAATATTATTAGTAGATAATAATTTAAAAGATAATATGAGTTAACTTATTTAAATTTGTTTTTCTAACTTATACTGTATCAAGAAAAAAAATATCATTTGTAGTTCTTGTAGTTATTCTATCAACAGCAAATCCTGAAGTTATAATAAAATTAAATAATTTATAATAATAGAGTATATTAAAAGAAGTAAAAAATTAACTACTATATTATATTTTAATATTTACCAAATACAACAAGAATATAGTTTTCAATAAGTGTTGAAGTTTGCTATATAATACTATAGTTAGGTGAAAGACTGCCTGTATTTGATATTAGAATATTTGACCATTCAAATTTTTTAATATCTAAAGCACTTATATTATAGTCAGACCTCTCTAAATGCAATGCATCGGGACCATATGTAAAAATTTAGCCAAACGTGCATTTAGAGAGGTATTGCATTTAGGGAAGTATAAATCTATAGGCATAATATTAGTTGGGCCCAAGAGAAGACGTGCATTTAGAGAGACTTTTCATAAGACGTGCACTTAGAGGGGTTGCATTTAGGGGGGTCTGACTATAGTATTAACAATATTATTTATAGTATTACCAAAATCTGATATATTATTAATAATAAAATTAAATATTAGTAATATTACGCATATATAAAAAATTAATTGAACCTAAAAACCTAATACGAATGAAATGTCCCAAAATTTCAACATTAGCCATTAGCAGGGCGGCGATATTAGTAGCTCACTCACAAAAAATTTTCCGGTCATGTGACTTTTTTATGGCACTAGCCAATTATTTTTTAAGATCAGATGTGATGTAAAAATCAAAACAATTAAAACAATCAAATAAAACAAAAGAATTAAAGTAATAAATTGAGAGTTAAGGTTTGGGTTAGACACTTTGTTAAAGTGTTTCTATTTGCAAGGAATTTTTTTTGTTAATGCGCAGAAGACGATTTCATAGACAAATTTTAGAGTTTTTAGTGATTTTTTATAAAAAAATATAAAAAGCGTAATTTTTACGTTACACCTGATCCTGAAATTCAATTGGTTTGCGCCACAATAAAGTCATATGACCGGAAAATTTTTTGTGGTATAATTTTAGGTATAATTACATAGGTTCAGGGCGGCATGCGGGTCACGGTCTGTCAAGCCACACAGAGGGATCATGTGAATGAAATGAAATGCTGAATTACACAAGGACAAAAAATCATCTCGGATACGATAAAAACTAATAAATTTTGATTGGCCGAGTTTGAGTAGATTGTCACTAAACATTACGTCAGTACTTTTTGCGAGGATCTAAATTTTCTGTTCTTGGATCAATCTTAATTTCCAATAAAATGAAATCAAAACGTAGACATTCTTTAGCTGATGACGACTTTGAATCATCAAAAAATCAGAATGTAACAAATGTCAGCAATAAACGATTTAATAAAAAACAGAGAAAAAATTTTGATTTAGAAATTCATAATGTTGCGCAGCGATTAAAAGAATTTCGAAAAGAGCTTCCAATATGGAAAGGTATTCTACTTTCCCTTTATTATTCCCAAATATCGTTAATTGCTGAGGTCCATTTTGTTGAAAGAACGGGAAAAGTTGGTACAAACTGTCAAAGAAAACGAGACTATTATCGTTATTGGTGAAATGGGAAGTGGAAAAAGTACTCGTATGTATAAATTTTTTAAAAACCAATGGAAACTTTTGCATTCCCATATATAATCACGTGATAATTGCCTCTTAGAAACACCGCAATTCTTGTTGGAAGCTGGCCTGATATCGAATGGTGCTATCGCGTTAACACAACCAAGAAGAGTCGCTGCCATAAGTTTGGCTAAAAGAGTCGCTAATGAAATTGGAACGAAACTTGGTCATCGTGTAAGTTCTCATTAAAATTTCTATTTATTATTCACCCATCTATTTAATGCTAATTAATATCTACAATATTTATATAAAGGTTGGCTATTCTGTCAGATTTGATGATACATCATCTCAATCAACGGTTATCAAATATCTTACAGATGGCATGCTTCTACGAGAATTACTATCAGATCCTTTGCTTTTAAAATATTGCGTAATAATTCTGGATGAAGCACATGAAAGGACAATGCGTACTGATATCCTCTTTGGTATGATAAAAAGGGTTCAAGATGCTAGAAAGAACGATAAATCTTGTAATCCGTTAAAAGTAATTATAATGAGTGCCACTTTAAATGCTCAGAAATTTGCTAGTTATTTTAATACGTGAGTTATTATTTAATCGCGAAGAGTCTTTATTTTTATTTTGTCGAAAATGACGTAGCTTATTCATCATTAGAACTACGATATTACAAATCCCGGGTCGACAATTTCCAGTGAGCGTGAATTATAGCTTTGTAGCTCAGCCTGATTATTTAGATGCGGCGTTTACTACATCAACGCAAATTCATACAAATCAACCTCCTGGTGATATTCTGGTATTTTTACCAGGTAAATGATCGATTACTTTATTGTATCCCGTTAATTATGATCTAGGCATTAATTGACCTATATCTCATGTATTTAGGCCAAGAAGATATTGAAATTCTTGAAAAACTAATAACTGAGTACGGCACGACTTTGCCACCAGATAAACTAAAGGTACAACCTCATTACCTATTTTTTCATCTAATAATTAACGTTTATATTTCTTTAACTATATATATCTGTATGTGTGTAGATAATCACATGTTTGTTATTTGCGGCTCTCCCGACGGAACAGCAAACAAAAGTTTTTGATCCCTCTCCTCCAGGAACTCGTAAAATAATATTAGCAACTAACATTGCTGAAACTTCTATAACGATAAATGGTGTTAGATACGTTGTAGATACTGGAAAATGTAAAATGAGAAAATTCAATTCAAGGGTAGGAATGGAAAGCTTATCCATAGAGAATATTTCAAAAGATTCTGCAGATCAACGGATGGGTAGGGCTGGTCGTGAGGTGCGTTGCAAAATATGCTCACAGATATTATTTAGAGTATTTACTTTTTTACAAACAAATTTTTTTTATTTATAATCATTAGGCTCCAGGATTCTGCCATCGTCTATATACAGAAGAAGAATATAATAAAATGGAAAAAAATACTGAGCCGGAAATAAAAAGATGCAATCTTGCATCGATTATATTATTATTAAAAGCTTTTGGTATCGATAATGTACTAGAATTTGATTATTTAGACGCTCCATCAAGAAGTTTATGTATGTGTGTTGTTTTTCAAATTTCATTTTTTTTAAAATGCGAATTATTAATTTTACTTATATGCTGAACATAGTGAAAAGGGCATTAGAACAATTATTTATTCTAAAAGCACTTAATAATCAGGGTAAAATAACTGATTTGGGAAGAAAAATGTCAGAGTTTCCTCTTGAACCAGCTTATGCTAAAGTCCTTATCGCATCAGAGGTATTTTAAAATATTATCAATTTAACTAATAAACTTTTTGTTTGATTACAAATAACATGTATTATTCTTTAATAGCAAATGTCCTGTACGCGTGAAGTGATTAATATAGTTTCATTACTTTCGGTTGATTCTATATTTTTTTCGCCTCAAGATCAACGTGATCAGGCATTGGATATGAAAAAGAAGTTTATATCTCCTCTTGGTGATTTGATTACCTATTTAAATTTATTACGATCATACGAAACGCATAAAGGAGATTTGGATTGGTGCAAGCAGAATTTTGTTAATAAACGAAATATGAAACATGTTATTGTAAGTATTATTAGTAATCAATTTAAAGTTCTATTACACTTGTTAATTTCGTTAATTTTGTTTATAAAAAGAATGTAAGAAAACAATTAATACAATTGTGTACAAGAATGAATATTTCTCCTACAACTACTTGTGACGAAGATTACGAACTACTATTAAAATGTATGTTGTGCGGATTTTTTCGTAATTCTGCTATATTACAGCCTGGTAACAATGGTTATAAAACTGTTGGGAATAATCAGGTATATTTATCACATTACTTATTTTATTAGTTTTATTTAAATTTACTATAATAGTATTGTTTGTGAGCTAATTTAAATAAAAAAAAAAATTTTTATAACAGGTCGTTAACATACATCCATCGTCAACTTTATTTAATAAAAAAAATGAAGCCGTTATGTATACTGAATTGGTAAATAAATTTATTTATTTATTTAATTTATTAACCTGATTTACTAAAATAATCATATTTGTAGGTACTGACTTCAAAACCATATATGAAAAATGTTTCGGTAATTCAAAGTAGTTGGCTTGTTGGCATTTCTTCAAATTTATTGGAATAGAAAAAATTATTCAAATAGTCTGTTAAATTCAAGACATTTGTACTATGTACTATTTGAATAAAAAATACATTATTAAATTAATATAATAAAAGTTATAAATGCCTATACATTATATATATATATATTTAATATAAATAATTTAGTCTTTTTACATCATCCAATCTTTATTATGCGAATTTTTGAAATTGAAGTCCAACTTGTATAAATCCGATCTCATATACACAAGAATAAACATAGCATACTCCAAAATTTTAATCTAAATAATTATTAAAAATAAATCAAACCTGTCTTTATCTTTTTTTTTTTTTTTTTTTTTCAGAGAATATACGATATATATAATGTTGGAAGAAAAATTTGAATACAAGGAAAACATAAAAATTTCACCATGCTACACTACAAATTATAAATACATGCCAAATACTATGTATAAAAGGTTGCCTTTTTTTTCTTTTTACATGTGAAGCCTCTTTTTTTCTTATATTATTTGATTTCCCTCTTTTTTCTTCCTCTTATTTATGCATTGTTGTTCCTTTTTTTTTTTCTTTTTTTTTTTTTTTCTCCGTTAACACGTATATTGCTTCACATTAATCTTATACAAATTTCAGATTAGATATTAAAAATCCCGATGATAGATGAAAAGTGAAAGTGATGTCTTGAATAACAAAAAACGAGAATTCAACAAGCAAGAAATCCGTGATCTGATCGTAAATATAAAAATATCGAATAAAAAAATATCTAAATCCATGAATATATGCTTATTTCTTTTTTTTTGTTTATGATTGCTGTTGTTGAATATGTTGCTAAGAAAAAAATTGTATGTAAATTTAGTAATGATAGCAACGATAGAACCTTCGCAGAAAACAAATGTAAACATACTCTAAAGTTATTCCCCCGATAATTGTTAGAGTATCCTCCGCGGATTCCACGGCCACCACGATATCCACCTCTGCCTCCTCTATAACCACGACTGCGATAACCACCGCGATATCTTCCACCATCAATCGAAACTTGCCCAAATGTTTCAAGATTCAGACGTCTTTCTTCAGATTGTTTCTGCCTTCGTTCAGCCACAGACAGTCCTCTATTAACAATTAATAGATATGCATAGTTATCATATATATAGATATATGTTTTGAACAATTTTTCCTTATAAAAAAAAAAAACTGCTAACCGGCCATCGGGCCCTTGTTGTTCCATTCGTTCCTTTGTTTCACAAGAAATGTTGTCGAAGAAAGATTTGGCCTTATCATAATAAGACTCAGCAGGTGGTATCACAACATCATCTTCCTCTTCCTCTGGACCAAGTTCAATACCATCAGCGCAATTTTCTTCTTTAAGATCATGGTTAGGAATAATTTTTTTAACAACCTCTTTGACAAGTTCATCTTTATTGAACTTGGCATTTGACGATTCAAAATCAAAATCTGATTGTGGAACAGGAATTCTATTACGATCATAACTTTGGTTATAGTTTCTTCTATTGCCACGACCTCTACGAGCTGGTTGTACAAGATGGCCCCCCATTCCAGGAAGTCGGTTATTACTTGGAAAAGAACGATTGTTGCCCATAACTATTATTAAAAATGGAATTAAAATTTAATAAAATTTACGTAAACAATTATTATGTAAAATAATAAAGAAATTTTCAAATAATATACCCTGCCTTTCACCATTTACTTCTTTTACGGTAATACTTAATTCGCTGACTTTTTTGGCCAGGTTCTCCACGGCCATGGCCGTTGATGGCGCTTCTAATGCACTTTCATTTCTAGAGTTTGCAGTTTGTGCCGATGATCGGGAACTACTTCCCGTCTTGACGAAATTTTTGGGCACAGAGGCCTTCTTCTCCGTTTTATGGTCTTCTACCTTGTCCGGTGTACCATGCTCTTTCTAATATTCAATGGGTTAGGAATTGGTATAAACATGGGCCATCGAGGAGCAGGGTTAATCATGCGTAAATTTTGCTGCCAAAATTGCAGACCTGTTGTTGTGACTTTGGTTGTTCGGCTTCTTTCGCGAGACTTTCGGTAATATTATTAAGCTATTGTATCATTAAAAAAAAAATACACAATTAATAAAATTCGAATTATTGAAAACAAGCGAAAAAATAGAATAAGGAACTATACATTTTTCACGAGCTTTGTATGCTATCGAATATAAAAAAAATAATAAGAATAGAGATTAACAATAAGTAAAATAAATATTTTAAAAAAAAAAACATTCATATTTGTAAAATTGTTTCATCAAACATTTATTTGTAAAAAATTAAAAACACACCTGTTGTGGCTGTGGAACTTGTGGCTGCTGCCAAAACTGTTGCTGCTGCTGAAAAGAGGCTACTTGCTGAAGGTAGAAAGGATTCAGAGAAGCACCAGGAAAGTTAGGAGGAGGTTGAACACCTAATGGCGGAGGAGGGGCAAAGCCTTGAAAATTTGGAGGTCGTGGAGCGGTAGTCTGCATAATATAACAACAAATTTTTTTTCCGTGTTAGAACAGATTTACTTTATCTCGAAATAAATTTCGTTTACTCGTTTCGAATAATCAGAAGGAAGGCAACATGGAAATATCAACATTATTCTTTTTTTTTTGCGCTTCAGAAGTAATTTACATCCAGAATACTTCATCATTTAAAAATGTGATCTTTTTTTTCTTTTGCATGACAGGTAGGATCCAATAATGACAAGGCTAAGATACATTTGACTAAATCCATCGTGCATGCAAAATACTTTCTCCAAACATTATCTAAACTCTTACCCCAAGAATAGCAGGATCATTAGGGACTTGAGGTGGCATTGACTGCTGTTGAGCTGGGGCTTCACAAACGTGCAGATCCTTCACGTCAGAACCCCGGAATACTATGTATTCAAAAACATTGTCAGACGGAGGAATTTCCTCAGCAGGATTGCCTCGGCGACCTTCCGTTCCATAAGAACGAACTAATCATGATAAAGAAAAATACATAAGCATTCATGAGCATTAAGTGCCTTTTAAAAATTATACCTCGTATATCTTTCAATGTTTGCTCATTAAAGTTCTTTATTTCAAAAATATAAAGTTATTATAAGAGTATTATAAGAATATTGATACTAGATAAAGAGCTAGAGACCCATCTTTAAAATATTTTAAAACATACGCCATGATTATAGATTTAACGAAAAGACTTTTTGCCAAAGCGACGAATTTTCAAAAATGATAGAAATAATTATATTGCCTCATTCTCAGTCATATTTAACATCTTATTAAACAACTATAATATTCTAAAAAAAAAAAAGAATAAGTTCATTAAAAAAAAGGGGACTAACCTTGCTCAAGAGCTACAGTTGAGTCAGCTGAATTGATACTGTGAAGTATGCCTACGTAACGTATATCAGATCTTGATATGAGACTGATCTTGGATCCGATGTATCCAACACCACTCATCTTCGCCTCGTAACGAATACTTCAAAGTTGAAAATATCTCTTTTGTCGACAGAATCTCTAGGTTACGGCTGAGACAAGTACTATTAAATTTACCTGAAATCGCCGGCAAATGATAGCAATACACAGTGATATCTTTTTTACACGTGGTTTACACAATTTCCATAAACATTTTTCCAACCAATTATAATTCTATTTTGGTAAGCTATAAATAATTCATTTTATTGGCGGTTGATTAGGTTCAATCGGATCGATCCAAATTTCGGCTTGGGCTGGGCCTACATTAATATAGGCAGTGTGGGCTGGCAACCGCCTAGCTTTTGTATGTACGTTTTTTCTTTTTGTTATCAAAGAATGTTTAACAAGATGTACCTTTATATTCCGCAAATTCGAATCTAGGAATTTGGTGTCCAATAAGGTGTTTCCGATGTGCCGGTAATATAACTGATTCTGTGTTTAATAATATTATACTGTATATAAAAATTTGATACATCAAAATCATTATAATCAATATGAAGCTTTTAGGGCTCAATTACAATCAATAAAATTAAGCAATGGGAGCTAATTATACAGTAGTTTGTTGCAAAAGATACAATATACTGTATATTATACTGTATACAGCATTGCTTTCTGTATAATCATCTACCACCTTAACTGTCAATAATTTATATTTTCTTAATATCTTTTTGTTTTTTTGACTTCTGGATTTATGAAGATCTCATATAGTATGTCCGGAGATCTTTCCCCGTAGTATTTTATTTTATTCTTTCGCTTTGTATGATAATGTCATGGTGGTAATCACTACTTTATTTCCCGGTTACCAAAGAAATAACAAGAGTTGCCGGAAACGTAGACGATTATAAACCACTGTCATGTGAAACACTTCATTCCAAGTTTTTTGAATCTCTATCTAAACCCGGATTTTTTTCAGGGTCCCTGGCATTTATCACGTGAAGTCACATGAAATGCGTATTTCGAAAGTGTATTTTTTGACGTTTCTTTGATCCAACCACTTTAACCGAAGCTTTCGGCAATGGCAACGATGGATGTTAATATGGATATAGTGCCCGACGGCGAAGCAGTCACTCAGCCACAAGTTTCCTCTGTGGTATCAAATGCTCCGAATAATTCTGGCTTAATGGTTGCCTTGTAAGAAAATTTCTTATTTTTTTTCTTTTTTGTCCGAAAGACTTAAATGACCTCTAACCATAAGTTTACTGTGTTTTACATAGACATCCGTTAACGTTATTAAACATATCAGATCATTTCACACGTATCAAGATGCAGCAACAAATTCAAAATCCACAAGGTATAAATAGATAGATATCTAGACGGTACTTATTACAATTGCTCTGACTTAAAGACAATTTTCACTATTAGATATATCATTTTATTTTATATAGTTATTGGTGCTCTTGTTGGCATTCAAACTGGTCGTGATGTTGAAATCTCCAATTCTTATGAGTTAGAATTTGATACTATTGATGGAAAGGTCCAAATCAATCATGAATACTTTATAACGAAACAAGAACAATGTATGTGTTCTTTCTGATCAACATAACATCTTAACAATTTTAATCATTATAGTTTTATTAATCCAACTCATTTGATTCGTTGCACGCGTGGAATTAATCCAATTCTAGTTCGTCAAGTTTTCCCACAATTTGATTTCTTAGGATGGTACACTATGGGACCTTATCCAACCGAAGCAGACATCGAAATTCATAAGCAGGCAATTATAACATATTATGATAAATTATGATAAATTACGATAAATTACGATAGTCATGATCATGAACTTAAATAACTATAACATTTCTTTTAATTTATCAGATGATGGAATTTAACGAAAGCCCTCTTTTTCTTCAAATGAATCCTTTTGAAATGGTTACATCAAAAAATCTTCCGATTACTGTTTATGAATCAATAATTGATATCATTGAAGGACAGGCTCACACTTTATTCATTAAGTCGCAATATAAGATTGAGACTGGTGAGGCTGAACGCATCGCTGTCGATCATGTTGCACATACAACTCTTGGAGAGGGTGGTGAAGGTTCTTCTCGTAAGTGTTATGCTGTTTGCAGTTCTCTACATACCAGTTTGATGTATTAACATATTATAACGATAGTTATTGCGCATTTGACTACCCAAAGGAATGCGATTCAAATGCTGCATACTAGAATAAAGCTACTCCATCATTACCTCGACTTGATAAATAGCAGTGAGTAATACTACCATTATTAATGTTAAATTCATGATTTTGATATTTATTAATTTATCACGGTCTTACCCCCCTTTAAATAGAGGAAACACCCGTCGATCACGATATTCTTCGTCAAATTGCTGGCCTTTGTAATCGCATGCCAACTATTGATAGTACTGATTTTAAGCAAGAATTTCTCACGGTTTTTATTTTATTATTTATTTCTATGTTTTTTTAAAAAAATTCAATTTCAATTGATCATAACACGTTAATTTTATATGATAGGAATATAATGATGTTTTATTGACGACGTATTTAGCAACTATAACTAAAGGCACGAATTCTATAAATGAGGTAAATTTTATTTTTCTACAATGATGTTATACTGTGAATAAACATTAAATTTTGCTTAAATATTTTAATATTAGCTTGTAGACAAGTTCAACATTGCGAATAGTACCAACAGACCTGGAGGACGAGGCCGTCACCAACAGCATCAAGGCTTTCCTAATTTCTGAACCAATAATTATTTACTAGCTTCACACGCATCACTACGTGTCACATTGGGGTATTCCATATACTAATTAATCAAATCTATGTAAGGATCAATAATAATGTTACTGTGGCTAGATTTTATGCATAAAATTGATCGGCAAAATTGATACATCTTTATTACTATCAAAAAAAGCGTTTAAAATTTGGTGTATTTCGTGTACAATTTTTTCTAGCAAATTTTGTAGCAAACAATTGGCACGATAAATCCAAATGAAGTTACGATTTAAAAATTTTAATTAATCAATCATTTTTGATTATTCTATTAGTAGGATTTTTTTTTTTTGTTTCGCTATACAGTCTTACCTCTTTATAATCACACAGTTGGGACTATAGTAATTTGTTTTTTATATATACTATATAAATAGTGATTGGGCTCAAATAGGGGTGTGATTATAAAAAGGTTTTTATATGATGTGATTATATGAGAGATGATTACAAAGAGTATATGCCCTGGCTAAATAATGAGTATTTGTCATGAATTGATCTTTGATAATCAAAAATTTAAATTGTAATTGTGTAAAAAGGTTTTAATTATATTATATATAAACTTTTACTATATATATATATATATATTTTTTTTTTTTAATCTTCACGGTAGCTTGCTTTTTATTAAAATATGTATAAGAATTATATACATTTAATTTATAGAACTCAGAGCCCAACTTCACTCGGTTACTTTACAGTTCTAAATGCAACCTGTTGCACCAGTTTGCGGACAAACCAGAATTATCTTATCAAAAAATCTATAAAAAAAAAAAATGACCTATGACTAAAAAGAAGATATGAAAGGAGGAATAGGAGAAATGAACGAAATATAAAAATAAAAAAAAACCCAAAAAAAAAAAAAACGTGAAAAAATAAAAAACATTTTATAGAAAAAAGATAATAATTTGAGAGAAATTTCACCTCTCTATATGACCAAAATGCACTATTAGGCCATATAAAATTAATTTTTTGGTTCTTATAACATAAAAAAAAAAAAATGACCTGACAGGCCGGACTTTTATTTAAAAATTTTTAAAAATTTTCAAATTATAAAATTTAAATTTTAATTTTAAAAAATAATAACCTGGCACTATAGTATTAAATAAAGTAATGACCCGTCTATCTGGACTTTATTTAAAAAATTTTATATATAAAAAATTTTAATTTTTATAAAATTTTTTTAAAAAATTTTTTAATATCCCACCTGGCTATTAAACTATATAAAAAAATTTTTTCAAAAAATTTTCAAAATATGACCCAGCTGGGTTATAAGAACCAAAAAATTAAGTTTATATAGCCTTATAACCTGTGCAAGGCTAAAAAATTATATAACAAATGCAACGATTGTATATCTCTAATGTAAAGCTTCACCTTAATGTATAGATTTCTTCCGAATTATGACCGCTTTCAGATATCTCTTTAACTGGAGGTCCCGATCTGACTTCACCAGAGTAGCACCGTATTTGTAAACAGATACATCATGTGGTTGCATTCTACTGAGTCCATCTGAATTTGGAAAGTAAATAATGCCGATCTTTTGAAGGGGATAAGCCAAATCCTCCACTTTTTGCAAAAAATTTTGGAAGACTGACAGGGAGGCGAGTAAAAGTAAAAAAAGAAACTACTTGGCCAAATAAAAGAGTGTGGCTTGAGAAAAATAAGATAACTGTTGTACATTTGGGTTCCAAGATCTTTGTAGCTTCATCGACAGGTCTGTGCCTACCAAAATTTTTTCTATTCGCAGTAAGCACCACCTGCTTTTTTACTTCTGTTCCTAGGCTTCTGGCTTGCATATCGAATATAGAAGAGAGTCCCCAAGAAGAAGGTTAACCACTTTGTTGTACCCTAAAAACCACTACTATAGATCTTTAGAACAGTAAACTATAGAACTTTGTCGACAGATGAATCTATCAAAATTTATACTTGAGTAATAAGTGCCACCTGCTTTTTTCACTATTACTCAGTGAGGCTTCTGGCTTGCATGTCAAACATAGAAAAGAGTCCCTAAAGCCAGTTAACCTTTCTACAAACCGTTCTAATAGTTTATACAACTCCTTAACAGACTTCTTATTTCTCCTTTTAGTTGAAAATTTTAGTCCAAGTGATCATCGGAAAGAGTTTTTCTATATTTTTGAATATCGACACTATAACAATTTAGTAATGATTTTAAAATTAATAACATAAGGATATTAATACGTATAGTCTATGTTTTTAGTATAATATCACTAAGGCATCGCTACAATTTATTTAGAATTAAAGAATTGCAATGATTTAGTTATGATCACATAATGACTTTGTAATGATCTTGTGTTTAATAGTAAAAAAAGTTATTACCTAAACGTTACTAAGCAGTTATAGTAGACTTAACTACTTTGCATTAATACAGTAGTGGCCCAAAATTGATAATATATAGATATCAATATGTGCAGTTTATTTAGTTTGCTAAGATCTAGCCACGATTTTTTAATAAAATTATCACAATCTCAATAACATATTTATGAAACTTTTAGAACATTGTAACAATTTATTAATAAATAAATAAATTATCACGATTTAGTTACGATCTCATAATGACTTAAAAATAACATAGTTGTAAAAATTCAAACAACTCTTTCCAACGATCATCTGGACTATATTTTTCTGAAAAACTTTTTGACTAAAAAACAGTAATGTACTGCAAGAAAAAAGTAAGACATGGGAAAAGGGCGTAAGAAGAACCGCACTTGTCGTTTAGAGGTAGTTCTCATACGCTACCTGCCGACAAGCTCAGAGTTTATCACTTATGGCAGCACGGCACTTGTCGTTTAGAGATAGTTCTCATACGCTATCTGCCGAC